TTTCATCCTCAAGCAATCACTGATCTACTATCTACCACCATAGATTAGTTTGCATTTTCCAGAATTTTCTATAAATGGAACCAGGTCAGAAAGAGTGCAACTAGAAAAAAAAAATACTGTAACTATGCCCATGTGCAAAACTGTGGGCATGTCCAGGAAACAGATAAAAAAGCCTCCAATTTCTTACCCATTAAGGCTATACAAGCAGGATATGAAAGCTAAAACAGAGTCCCAAATTAAACAGCAATAAGATACTTATTAGAACAGCTAATATCCAGAACACTGACAATAATAAATGCTAGAAACAAGAAATGTAGAGCAACAGGAACTTTCATTCATTGCTGGTGGGATTACAAAACCATACAGCCACTTTGGAAGATGGTTCGGTGGTTTCTTCCAAGTACACACACTTCTACCATACAATCCAACAATTGTACTCCTTGGTGTTTACCCAAAAGAGCTGAAAGTTATGTCCACAAAAACATGCATATGTCCATATATGCATGCACTGTTCATAGAAGCTTTATTCATAATTGCCAAAACTTGGGAGCAACCAAGATGTACTTCAGTAGATGAATAGACAAATGCACTACGGTACACCCAGACAATGGAATACTATTTAGTGCTAAAAAGAAATGAGCTGTCAAGTCATAAAAGACATGAAGGAATCTGAAATGTCCATTACTAAGTAAAAGAAGCCAATCTGAAAAGGACACATACTGTATGATTCCAACTATAGGACATTCTGGAAAAGATAAAACTATGGAAACAGTAAAAGGATCAATGGTTGTCAGGGGCCAAGCAAGGTGGGAAGGCAGATAAGATAAATATGCAGAGCATAAGGGATTTTTAAGGCAGGGGAAATATTCTGCATGATACAATAATGACAGATACCTGTCATTAAATATTGTCCAAACCCACAGAATATACAATACCAACAGTGAAACCTAATGTAAACTATGGATTCTGGGTATCAACATAGGTTCATCATTTATAACAACTGTACCACTCTGGTGGGGGATGTTGATAATGAGGTAGGCTATGATAGGTGGAGGAGGGAATATATGAGAAATCTCTATAGACTTTCTACTCAATTTTGCTATAATCTTAAAACTGCTCTAAAAAATAAAGTCTATTAAAAGAGACACAAAGTAATCTTGGAGTTGAAAAGTACAACAACTAAAACGAAAATTTCAGCAGCATATCAGAGTTGGCAGAACAAAAAAATCAGCAAACTTGAAGGTAGGGAATTGAAAGTATCCTGTCTACAACAAATAGAAAAAAATAATAATAATTAGGAAAAATAAGCAGAATCTCTGAGACCTGTGGGACACCAACAAGCCTATAAACATGTGCATGTTGGGGTCTCAGGAGAAAACAAGAGAAAGGGGCAGAAACAGTATCTGAAGAAATGATGGCTAAACATTTTCTAAATTTTATTGAAAAATATTAACCTATACATCCAAGAACACAACAAATTCCAAAGAGGATCCACACTTAAACACATATAGTCAAATTGTCAAAGGAGAAAAAAAAGGAATCTTGAAAGTAGCAGGAAAAAAACTCCTTGTGTACAAGAGAGTCTCATAAATTTATCAACTGACTTCCCATCAGAAACCAGGGAGGCCAGAAAGCAGTGGATTAATATAGTCAAAGTGATAAAAGAAAAACACTGTCAAATAATTCTATATCCAGCAAAACTATCCTGCAAAATCAAAGGAGAACCGGTGAGGAAAGAAAAAAGAAGCAGCAAGTAAGACATTCCCTAATACAAAAGCTGAGACAATTCATCACTAGCAGATCTGTTTTATAAAAATATACTAACTGGAGACCTTCAGGTAAAATGAAAGGACTACAGACAGTAATTTATCTACACAAAAAGTAAAGGGCACTGGTAAAGGTAAAAACATGGGTTTAAAAAAAAGAGCATAAATGTATTTTTGTTTGTAAATTTTTTCTTGTATATGATCTAAAAAACAACTAAATAAAGCAATAATTACAAAACTGTGTTAGCAGGCTTGTAAGGTACAAAGAAGTATGTATTCACTTAGCCATTACATAAGAACATCCATGCTCAACTTACATCAAAATCACTATCACACTGGGGCTAGGTCATTCAGGTAGTGATAAAATACTACTCAATCTAGAAACTGCGTACTTTCTAAAGATCTATTAAGTAAATTCTCAATAAAACTATGAAGACTGTGAATGGGTCATGCTTTTCCAGCTTCTGCACAACAAAATAAACAAAATGAAAAGGCAACTTACAGAATGGGAGAAAATATTTGCAAACCATATATCTGATAAAAGGTTAATATCCAAAATAAAGGGGAGCCTGCATGGCTCAGTCACTTAAGCACCTATTCTTGGCTCAGGTCATGATCCCATAATCCTGGGATCAAGCCCTGCATCCGGCTTTCTGCTCAGCAAGGAGTCTGCTTCTCCCTCTGCCCTACCCACTCCCCCCACCCATGCTTGCTCACTCTCTCAAATAAATAAATAAAACATTTTAAAAGAAAAAAAAAGAATATCCAAAATGTATCAGAAACTCCTACAACTCAATAGTTTAAAAAGAAAATCCAATTTTAAAAAATAGGCAGAGGAACTGAATAGACATTTTTCCAAAGACAACAAACAAATGGTCAACAGGTACATAAAAGGAGCTCAACGTTACTAATCATCAAAGAAATGCAAATCAAAACCACAATGAGGTATTACTTCACACCTATATAATGACTATCATCAAAAGACAAGAGATAACAAATGCTAGTGAGGATGTAGAGAAAAGGGAACCCATGGATTCCTCATCATAGAGAAGTCTCTGTTTCAAAAACAACATCTATAACTAGGCTTTCATTTACTAATAACTAATACCTTAAATATCAGCTTTTTTTTTTCCTGGGTGCCTTGGTGGCTTAGTTGGTTAAGCAACTGCCTTTGGCTCAGGTCATGATCCTGGAGTCCTAGGATAGAGTCCCACATCAGGCTCCCTGCTCAGCAAGAAATCTGCTTCTCCCTCTGACCCTCCACTTTTCGTGCTTTCTCTCTCTCATTCTCTCTCTCAAATAAATAGAATCTTTTAAAAAAAAAAAAAAAAAAACTCTTAAAAAAAATCCTCTTTTCTCCTAATTAACTCATAGAAAGTGAATTAATACTACTAAATGATGGTACTCTAAAAGAGCAAAATTGCACAATATATTCATATTGGTTGAGATAATATGTTTAAGAATTTTAGGGAACTAAAAATCACTTACCAAATGCTTCATAGAAAGCTGCCAAGCTAAAGTTTTTTAAACAATATATTTATATTCTAAAGCAAACTTAGGATCATGGACTGCTAGTAGAAAATTTTTTTGTCCTGTTTATTCACTTATTAATTCAACAAACATTTATGGATCACCAGCTATGTGCCAGGCACATAGGAACTGGAGATAAAAAGACAAAGTCTCTACCCCTTAAAGTGTGCACAATCTACGAGGACCTCCCATTCTGAAAGCAAAGAATTTATGACTAGAAGAGACTTTATAGTTCCCTTATTTCACAAATAAAGAAACCAGCATTCGCGGCTAATAAGCCACTCAGGCCAACAGACACTCAGGACTACAGATTTCCTGCTCCTGTGCTCTTTGCACAACACATTTTCTCTGACTGAGTGGTGATGGAGTCCTTCCATGTGGGTGAGGCAGAAACATGGAACTGGGAACAATATGTGGAGAGTTACCAAATTAGAAACTGAAACACCTAATGGACACAGATAATATAAATATTTAACAATTTAGAGACAGAAATCCCTAATAGATCTGATATCATGATCAGGAGAAAGAAACTAAAAGAACTAAAGAACTAAAATAAGAAACTGAACTAAAATGAGGTAATATAATGAATGGTAAGCCTTCAAAGCCATAATTATGGCTTTGCCTTTGTTTACTGATAATGTTAAAAGGGGATATTAAAAGTACTTATTTCCTATGACTGTTGTGAAAAGTAAATTAATTAAGTCTTGAAAGCACTTAGTAAACCTAATAAATACTCAGTAAACGTCAGCTACTGTTATAGACAATCATTTTTTTTTAAGATTTTATTTATTTATTTGACAGACAGAGATCACAAGTAGGCAGGCGGGGGGGGGGGGGAGGAAGCAGGCTCCCTGCTGAGCAGAGAGCCTGATGTGGGGCTCGATCCCAGGACCCTGGGATCATGATCTGAGCCAAAGGCAGAGGCTTTAACCCACTGAGCCACCCAGGTGCCCCTAGACAATCATTTCTTAAATGTACAAGCATGTCATATAAAGACAAAAAAATGATCTTTCTTTAAGGATTTATCTTATTATTATAATGATAGCCCTATTTTTCTAGCACTCAGTAAAATCTAGTATTAAAACATGTATTTCAAAAAAATATATTTAATATGCATAATATCTAATATCACCCTTTCTCTGTAGGCATATATCAGTCCTAAAATTACAAGAATAAAATTATTTTATTAACAATGAACTGTATTAATTAAAAGTTCTATTGATTAATTATATTATTAATTATATTAATTCATAATTTAAATTAATTAAATCATCTTGTAGTTCAGTATTCCTAAGATTATAAATCCTAAATATCATTTAAAGAATGTTGAGGGGCCCCTGGGTGGCTCAGTGGGTTAAAGCCTCTGCTTTCGGCTCAGGTCATGATCCCAGGGTCCTGGGATCGAGCCCCTCATCAGGCTCTCTGCTCAGCAAGGAGCCTGCTTTCCTTCCTCTCTCTCTGCCTGCCTCTCTGCCTACCTGTGATCTCTGTCAAATAAATTAAAAAAAAAAAGAAAAGAATGTTGAAAGGTGACTTTCAAGTAATTAAAAAATTTATGCAGCTTTTCTCATCTTATATAAAATATTATTGAACTAATCGACATCTTTGAAATAGATGGAATACATCAATGAAACTATTTCATATTAATACCATTCATCATCCAATATCAATAACAAAATAAGTAACATATTGATATCCACTTACTGCAATCTCTCTGCAAGCCGACATGGATATTCCTGTGCCTTCAATTTGCTTCAGTGCATATTCCTTTTCATCTTTTCTGCATATAAACAAAAAAATTTATTTTTTCTAAACATTATTTTCAAATTCAAAATCATAACTACAAAAACAATAAGTATACACTACCTTCTCAGTGATATATTAACACTCTAACTAGGCATGCATTGCTTACTGCTTCTGATAATATTACAACTATAGAAATATGAAATACCAAAAAAATTCATGTTACGATGTAAACAGTAGACAGAGCCAAATCACAAAATTCAAAATTGAAACAGGATACTAAACACAGCACTACTTTCAAACAGTAAACAAGCATAAATATGAGCATATTGCAAGATAATTCTACTCCTATCTTAATTATCTGTAATCTATGAAAGCATTCTGTTCTAAACATTAACTACAAAAATAAATGACAGATGTAAACTTCTATATTTGTTTAAAGTAATTTCAGAGATAAGAACCACTTAATAGGAGGGATGGGCTATAGAAGAATATCGACCCACCCTAAGGTCACCCTACTTCTGATCTAGAATAGTGAACATTCAAAAGCCTCAAAACCTCAACCAAAAACCTTGGAAAGTCTTTAAAACTCTAGCCACCAATATCTCATTCTCAATAACTCTAGGAAAAACCTAGTGTTACAGTGAATTTTCCAAATAACGTAGACAGGGTTAGGGATTCTGCGAAATCCCAGTAGTTACCAGGGTGCTCAATCAAGGGAAAACATCAGTTCAATAACGGTGATATAGTCCATAAAAATATAGTATCGCATGAGGGGCGCCTGGGTGGCTCAGTCAGTTAAGCATCTGCCTTTGGCTCAGGTCATGATCCCAAGACTCTGGGACTGGGCCCGGCCTCGGGCTCCCCGCCTCAGGCTCCCTGCTCTGCAGGGAGTCTGCTTCTCCCTCTCTCTCTGCCTCTGCCTCTCTCCCTGGCTTGTGCTCTCTCTCTCTCTCAAGTAAATACATAAAATCTTTAAAGAAAAAAAAAAAGTATCTTTAAAAAAAAAAAAAAATAGTAACCCACTGGGTGGCTCAGTGGGTTAAGCCTCTGCCTTCAGCTCGGGTCATGGTCTCAGGGTCCTGGAATCGAGCCCCACATCAGGCTCTCTGCTCAGTGGGGAGCCTGCTTCCTCCTCTCTCTCTGCCTGCCTCTGTCCCAACTTGTGATCTCTCTCTCTGTCAAATGAATAAATAAAATCTTAAAAAAAAAAAAAAAAAAGGTATCACATGAGTACAGCAACCCAGAATCCTCAGGATATTGACACCAGCACCAGACACAGCAAAATGTCAGAAATGTGGTTCATGTTGTGGGTTGTTCTGAGAAGAGGAATATAATCCAAGCCTCTGAGTTTTATCCTTTGATTATATTGGAGTCTCAGCAAATTTTCAACACACCATGACGATTTTCTCAAATGATAGCACCTAAATGGTGCCACATCTGTCCTACTTACCTATTCCTTATCTTCCCCATGTGCATTTACTAGCAGATAAAGCAGTCTTTTAAGTAGGCTCCACACCTAGCACGGAGCCCAACATGGGGCTTGAACTCACGACCCTGAGATCCTGACATCGAGACCCGAGCTGAAATCAAGAGCCACACACCTAACTAAATGAGCCACCCAGGTGCCCCACAGAAAAAGCAGTTTAAGAGCTTTATTTGTTATATGCTTTTTAAAACATTTTACGTGCCTTTTGAAGATTTTCACAATCATCTATATGGTTTGAGCAAGTAAGTGAATTATAGTTACTTTCTCTCACCATCAGTTTGACAATTATATCCGTTAAGGAGCATTTTGACAAACAGAAAACACACCAGATATATCAACAGGATATAGACTGTTCTGCAATTATTAAAATGATAATCATGACCATCATCATGGATGGAAAATGGAAAATGTTTACTATGTATTAGTGAGAAAACACACACATTATACCAGATAAAAATATACATACATCTAGACATATGCTCAAGATGACTTAAAAAATGAAAATCAGTTGTATTAAGATGTAGGAACATATGTTAATTAACTTCAGTGCTAATATTATATTGTCTTTTAAATTAGAATTAGAGGGGAAAAGAGAAAAGCCAAAATAATTTGACACCCTGAAAATAGTCACCTACTAAAATAATCCTTAGTATCTTCAAAGTATTATCTTAGACATGTTTTAAAAAGTGAAGTCAAAACTAGGGAAAGTTTAAGTGATCACTTTTTCCTTTTTCTCTATACTGTTTCCTCCAAGTATAAAACTAGACTTTTTCCAGCCTACCCAGAAGCCACTAAGAAGTACAAACAGCAGGTAACTGAATGTAATTAAAGCCAAATGTTCCCCACCCCCAACCTTAAATGTACATGTGAACATATGTGCGAGAGCACTTACGCCTGAGATGTTTAACACAATGCTCACAATGCAAATTTCACACTTAATAATTAATTTAACTGCCAAGTACTATTGCTAAATATTTAAGAAATTTGTTAAATTCTTAAAATGAAATTACATAAGCTCTCTGGCAAAATCTTCAATGAAATCGTAATCTTTTAAAACACAAATATTTCAATCCCCAGTTCCCCTAAATGAAGTGCTCCAGAAGCTCATGTAATTGCATGGTTTTATTTTTAATACTGTAAAGAATATTACACAATCTGGATAGGTTATTGTTGCTATGGAAACCATAAGTTGTTGGGTTTGGGTTTTTTTTGCAGTAAGTCAAAAAGTGTAAAATTAACACATCACATTAATGACTTTTGAATTTCACATCCAGGCTGTCAAAGGAATTTGAAAGCTTGAGCAGAATAAACTGAAGCATAGGCCTTTACTCTGAATTACAGGATGGGATCTAGGAACAAACCCAGTAATTATTTCACTTAATAAGTTTAAATATAACTTCCATCTGCTAAATTAGCAAAATACTCGAAGATCTGCAAACTTAAGGTTTATCTGCAGCTTTGACATTGAGAGTGAAAGAAAGTGGATTATCTCATGGCGATTTCTGTTGTATATTAAGTCAGACGATGAGTGATAGATAAGGTGGCACCCTGGAGGTTTCCCATATGAAGAAGCGGTAGATCCCAGAGGGCACGCAGGACTCCCTTTCACCACGGTACTATGTCAGTGCCATCTTTGGTCAGATGCTGACACCTTAGTTATGGAACTGCAGATGCGTCCTTTCCCACAATGCCCACAACTACTTCAAAGATTAGCACGTGGGGCATGGAGGCTTTGTCGCTCTCAACCTATGGGAGTGCTGCCCCTCTTGGAAGCTTTCTCCAAGTGGTAGTGACGATTCATATCCCACAGCTTGTGTGTCTCGGGCACACATAATATTAAGTATCACGAAGGAACAATTTGTTCTTTTACGTGACAAGGCTGAAAAGCAGGTACACTTGCCCTTCCTACATTGCTAGGATAACCTGGCTTTTGAGGCCGCTTGTTCTTTCTTTTTTTTAAAGATTTTTTTTTTAAGATTTTATTTATTTATTTGACAGAGAGAGATCACAAGTAGGTAGAGAGGCAGGCAGAGAGAGAGGAAGGGAAGCAGGCTCCCTGCTGAGCAGAGAGCCCGACGCGGGGCTCGATCTCAGGACCCCGGGATCATGACCCGAGCCAAAGGCAGAGGCTTCAACCACTGAGCCACCCAGGCGCCCCTGCTTGTTCTTTCTTAAAACGATCTTATTTCTAAATTACTTTAACTTCTAAATAAAAACCTGTACCCCTGAGACAAATAATATATGTTAATTTTAAAATAATAAATAATAAAATAAAATAAAAAATAAATAAAAATATTTTATTATTTACTGCAATAAAAACAGACAAAGCAATTCCAAGGCCTTCAGAGAAACTACTTTCTAAATTTTAGTGCATATTAGACACCATGGTTAGAGTAACTGCATATTCATAATAATCAAAGGTTACTAAATAAATCCAGGAGAATCAAAAACATGTAACTTTGCAGAATAAGCATAGGTATATTTAATATGCACTTAAAAAAAAAGACATTTCTTCTATATGGCTGTAATGTATATCAAAACCATGTGGGCTTCCCTCTCAGCAGTGACAAAGAAAAACAATTATTCAACAAGAACATTATGTAATAACAAAATAGAAAAATAAATTTGGAAGACACTGCAATTCTATTAAACTTTCCATCTGAGACACTATGTTCTAGAAAACTCATGATGCAAGCAATTCTATGCATAGTAGAAAATATAAGCAGCACATATTTGTACAAGTTGTAGAAAATGCTGCCTTAAAATGAAAGCTTTATCCCAGGCAGAAAACCAGGCTCAGTGGTAGAATTTAAATGTAATTCAGGAAAGAATTTCTCAAGTTTAAAGAAGCACGTTCAGGATTTCTTGAATGAAATATTAGGAACCGGTTTAATGGAAATGGTAGTCTCATGCCTTTCACTAATGTCCGAACTTGGTGACCAGCCTCCAGTCACTTTTAGGATGGTAAAGTACCATTTGGCAGCCTGTATGTACAAGTGTAGGCCAAAACCCCATCTGTTATCATCATCATTAGGCCTAAGGCTTTTTTGACTCCCATCAATTCTACTACCAAGTATCCAGATCAGCCCTGGGCCATCTTTGGTCTTAAGGATCTACGACAGACAAAAAAAAAAAAAAAAAAATTAGAAGCATCTTTCAAGATAAGATGAGGAAATTCAAGCTCAAGCAAGGCTGAGATAAAAATTGTAATCTTCATGGGGTGCCTGGGTGGCTCAGTCCAATGAGTGTTTGACTCTTGATCTCGACTCAGGTTATTATCTGAGGGTCCTAGGATCAAGCCCTGTGTGGGGCTGGCTCTCTGCACTGGGGAATCTGCTTGAATATTCTTTCTCTCTCCCTCTCCCTCAGCCCCTTCCTCTGCTCGTTCTCTCTCTCTCTCCCAAATCAATCCTAAAAAAAATTTTTAGTCTTCAAACTAATAGGGTTAAAATGCTTTTCTTACTATTTATATGGAAAACAGAGGAGATTTATTACTTTATTTTACATCAACCAACAAAAAACTACTGAGTAAATATTGTATGTCCAAA